AAAAGATCTTCCTAAGGCTTTTTTCCCTCCTTTCCTAGTGCTGAGCCACCACTGAGCATTCACCATGAGAGCAGATTTTCATCAGCAGAGACTCAAAACGATTTTGAGACACATGTGGGGTGGGCCCTTCCACTGATGGAAGTTCCTGTAACTTCCACTGAGGCTTCCCAAAGCTCTGGGCTTGAGATGTGACGAGTCCAGCACGACTCACTTGTACAGGTGTTTTCTTACTGCCTTTGTCAGGCCAAATTCCTGGCTGTGTCTAGGGACAGAAAATCAGTGTCACCCCATGGCTGCAGCACTTGGAGGAGAAGTGACAGGAGAAGAAGAGGTGAGACACATAACACACCAAGCAAGAGGCCAAGGACAGGCTCAGGTGAGCCAGGACAGCCCGAGGCCCTCACCCTCCTCACCCCTGGGCCAGCAGCACTGGTGTCAGCACTGGTGTCAGCCCTGGCCACCACAGGCACCTGGGGAGAGCAGCAGGGCAGTGCTGGAGTCACCAGCCCTGGGAGTGCTCAAAAAACGAGTGGATGTGGCACTTGGGGACATGTTTAGTGGACAGGGTGATCGTCAAAGGTTGGACTTGATGATCTTGGAGGTATTTTCCAACCTTAATGATTCTCTGAATGAGCACAGGGGCGGGACACAGCCCGGGGCGGGCCGGGCTGCCCGGCGGGAGGGGCTGGGCTGCCCGCAGCAGCAGCTCTATTTGCTCAGCCGCAGCAAAGCCGCTCATCCTTCTTAGCTCCCCGTAAGCCACAAGTCTAACCCCTTTTAGATCACACTCCGGCAGGGCAGGAATTTAGTGCAAGGGATATCAAGCCGGGGTTTAGGTGGTGTTTGACCTAGTTTGTGAGTGCTGTGACATCACAAGGAGCAGTGCTGGGGGCACAAAGGGACACAGAGTCTGCAAGGCAGAGACCTGAGCAAGAACTGAGAAGCCCTTTCACAGCTGGGCAGTGGGTGCTGGGCTGGGGGAGGGCAGGCTGGGTCTGAGGCCCCCTGAACAGGGACTTAAGAACAGGGGGCTCCAAATGGTGCCTCGAGTTTGAAGTCCCTCAATCCCATTGCCAGCCAAGGTGAAGGAGGATGCAAGTGGGTGCAACCTGATCCAAGCCATGGCAGGGGGTGGGATGAGATGGTCTTTAAAGTCCCTTCCAACCAAACCCTTCTGCAAAATATTCCAGACAGGACAGACCAAGCTACTGTAGCTGCATCTATGCAGGGGATTTGGGATGTGATCACACCATCAGCACAGAGGAGATTCTTCTGCTGTGCATGTTCCAGGACAGGAAGGACCCAGGCACTGGGAACAGCACAACAATGACACATTCAGGGGACAAGAAAAGGGCTCCAGGCCCTGAACATCTCAGAGGGCACTGAACAGCAGCCCTGCTGCCCTCCTGGCTCACCTTTGTCCCCAGAGCATCAGCACTGATCTCCTCACAGGCACTGCCTTTTCCAGCCTGTCATTGTCTAGTCTTGGACTGGGGGATGGATGGACTAAGAATTTCTCAGGGAAGAAGCACAGGCTTAAATAAAACATTGTAGGGACTGCTACGTTCTGAGACCCTCACTGCCACTGTCCGAGTTTCACTCGGCCCCGGTAGATGAACCTCAGGATTAAAGGGTGGGCTCAGTTCAGCGCACGCTGTGTCTCACCTAAAAAATCCACTGCGCAGGCTCGAAGGGTCAATGACCTTTCCCAAATCTTCGCTCGCGAAGACTGGCCATTATATATATAGGGACTGCACAGAAGTGAAAACTAACCCAAATCTCTGCTCCAAAATGCAAGTGTTTCCCAGGCTGTGTACTCTGAATGTTTCTTTCAAACAAATCTTTTCTGGATTTTCTGAGAATGGAAAAGCCAAATGCAAGGAAGGGCCTGGCCAGTTCCCTCTGGGGCAGCAGCACCTGTCCCAGGGTTAGATGTGCCTGGACACCTCCTGCTGTACTCAGAGACAGCTTCCCCCTGCAGGTCCTCTCCTTTCCAACCGCCCTTCTGTGTCACAGCTCTGTTTCAGGATGGAGCAATGGCAGCTTTGAATGAATCCTCTTGTCTGTCCCACGTTCACTTGGCCAACTGACTCTGCTGTAGAGCACTTTGTGTAGGTCTGGCTCTGAGACCTGGGTCACCTCAGTCAGGGAAAAGGTGCTTAAGGAAATCTGGCTTTACCAACACCTCCTTATCCCACAGAAGATGAAATAATTTCCAACAGGATCAGGGGTCCAGCAGGAAAGCAGACAGCAGGTCTGCACCTGTGCAGGGCCCAAGCTGTAAGAGGCACCCACACTCCAGGCTATGTCAACTCTATGCTGGTGAAAGACTATGTCTGAACTGAAAGGTAAAAATCCTCCCCAAACAAGCAAAAAGGTGCAAAAAGAGCCTGAGAAGAAAGGCAGTGATAACTGCAGAAGTTGCTAAGTACAGTGAAAGGACACAAAAGGCCTTTGTCTGCACTGCACAGAGGTAGGTGACCACGTTATCTGCACCTACATGATCTGGAGTCTCTTATATAACCACAGTATCTGCAATGTTTTATCCAGAAAGAACAATAATAGAGTTGTGCCTCTGCCTGGAATTCCTGCAGTGGGGGCAGGCACAGGAACAGCCCCCTCAGCCTCCCCTGCCACGGAACCAAACTGAACTGGGAGGTTACTGGGGACCAGAAGGGACCACCTGCCCTTTCAGGTTCCCAGGGAGGGCTTTAGGAAGCAATCACTGGGCTTTCCAAAGGAGGCAGCAAATCTGTCCACTCTTCTCCAGATGTGCAGCTGTTGCCTGTGGCAGCATTCCATGCACACCTCTGGGCTGGGAATGCTGAGAACACAAGTGAGACCTCTGTATGAAGGACTTGTGGTCTCATTCTTGATTACTGCAGGTTCCTGAGCTCAGCCTAAAGGCACACCTGCCTAAAATTGTGCCTAATAATACTCTGGAATAATCTGTGTGGGAATCAGGCCCAGCTCCACTCCTCAAACTAATTGGTCACCAGTAATCAGTGTTTCTGGGGTTCCTAAGCCCAGCCTAGAGAGGGAACTCAAAGCTTTCTCCCCACAGCACATCATTGCCAAAGAGGATGAGAAGGACTCACCAGAGTGGACAGTGTCTGGCATGTTTGTCCTCCAGGTTTTGCTGCAGGGAACTGCCTAATGCTCAAAAGAACATTTACAGTCCAAGGAAATTAAAACCTTCACCCAAATGTCTGAGCTGGGATCTTTAAAGACATCTGTGGAGAAGGACAGAACAATCCTGGTGTGAGAAAAAGAGGTATTTCATCAGCATTAATAAACCACAAAAATAAACCAAGGGTGAAATGAGGGATTCTGCCAGCCTGGGGAGTCTGGCTGCCTCCAGGGCACGTGTGTTGGCTGGGCTGTGAGCTGAGTTAGTGACAGCTCTGCAGGCACCTTGAAAACTGTCCTGGAATAAATCTTATTAAATGTACAGAAACATCATTATCTGTGAAATAGCTGTGAAAGAAGCCAGAGACTGGCCACCAGGCTGAAGGAGGAGCTGGGCAGTGGGGTTTCACCAGCCCTGACACACCTCCCTTCATGCTCACTTCAGCTCCATTCCCACCATCTCTGTGCTGGCCTGGACACACATGGATGTCACCAGGACCGCATGGAAAACATGCTCTTCATTAGTGGCTCTGTGAGGAGCTAATGAAGGTTGACACCATCCACTGAGCACCTTCCTCACAGCAATCTGAACCTTTGCAAAGCACGTGGGGGCTCCAGGCGGGATTTGTTTGAGATTTTCCAACAAAATAGCCCAGCTGTCTCGAAGAACACGAGGGAGGGTTGACGACGTGCTGCTTGTCCACCTTAAAAGCATCAACGCCTTGTTTTAGGAGGGCGCGTTGGCAGCGGGACTGTTCGGCCCAGCCCCTGGCAGGATGGATCTCGGAGTGCCGAGGTTCGGGTGAAAGGCAGAGCGCTCCTCCGCGCTCCTTGCGCTCCCTCTGCCGGCACCGAGCTCCCAGAAAGAGCAGGGACAGCCTCTGGAACCGCCCCCACCTCCCGAGCTGTACCCACGACTCCGCAGCAAATTCCACAACCGAACTGTCCTGGAGCAGGCGGGGGCAACCTTCCTGAGGCAAAGCTATGCTGTGGATCCCCAGGATACAACCTCTGATTATTTTATGGGTGCAAATGTGGGAATGCTTGACTCAAACCCGTGCTGGGTGAAGCAGCGGGATCCCTGCAGCCCAAGAGAATCCAGCCATGACCTGACCAGGGGAGAGCGAGCAGACACTGCCTCTGAACACGAGGAGGAGACTGGAAGCAGGTTTGGAAGCAGATCCAGCCTCCGTGAGGCATCTGGAGAAGGTATTTCAGGTGCAGGTATTTCCAGAGGCTGATCCCGGAGCTGAATGAAGAGGTGAGTTCCTGACAGGAGGTAATGGAGCCTTGGACTGGGGGTTTTCGTGTGTCTTCATAACGACCCCTGAGCATAAGAGCACACTGACAGCTGGGATCTTGCACCCAAAGCTAAACCAGCACCACGAGCTCCCCGAGCCCTGCGGGGCCGCAGCTCTGCCCTTCTGCTCCTGCCGCACGGGCTCAGGGCTCCTCCCCAGGGCTGCCCCTGGCCTGGCCGAAATGGAGGGGCTGGGCCCCCGTGGTGCTCAGGGAGCGCAGATGTTGCCCCATAACTGTAACCACGACTGGTCAGCAGCCACGACAGCAACGACAGAGACGGAGAAGGCAAAACGGCCCCATAAACAGCCGGGGGGCTGCGCGGCCCCCGGGCCAGCGGCGCGGGGGAGCTCAGAGGCGACAGCCAGGAGGACCCGGGTGGGACACCTTGCACAGGTGCAGCCGGGTCCCCCGGTCCCCGCGGCCTCCATCGGCCGCTCCGGTTCCCCGGGACCCCCCGGGTTCCCCCGGCCCCGCGGGCTCGGGCGGCCCAGGCCCCGCCCGTTGCCATGGGAACGGCCCGTGCCCGGCGTCCCCGTGTCTCGGCCCCGCCGCTCCGCGGCCCCGGCGCGATGGTTCCGCAGGGGGCGGCGGCGGCGCGAGGGGAGCGCGGCCCCTTTAAGAGCGGCGCCGCCATGATCTGCCTGGTGCTTGGGCTCTTCGCCGGCCTCTTCCACAGCGGTGCGGGACGGGCGGCACCGGGACCCCCCGACCCTGTGCCCCCGTCGGCTGGGAACCCCCCCGACCCCGCGGGCCCGGGATCCCCTCTGCCCGCTCGCCTGAGGGCCCGGGACCTTCCTTGTCCTCTGCCCCCGCGCCTCAGGGACTAGGACCCCCACCCCTGCCTCTGTGCCCCCGCACCCGCGGGCCAAGGGCCCCCTGCCCATGTCCTTCAGCGTCCGAAATCCTGGGGTCCGCCCTGTGCCCCTTTGTCCCTGGGACCCCCCTCCTGACCCTGTGCCCTCCGCGCCCGAGGACCCTTTCCTTTTCCTCCCGGGGTCCTGGGACACTCCCTGCCCTTGTGCCCCCGCACCTGAGACCCCAGGACCTCCCCTTGTCCCCGTGCCCGGGGCCTGGCTCCCCCTGCCCGCGTGCCCCAGCACTGGGATCCTGGGACCTCCCTGTGCCCCCTCGGCTGCAGGCCCGGGGGTCTCCTCCCCCTCACCGCTGTGCCCTGTCCCGCAGCCCTCGGCGGGGTCAATGAACGCACCTTCGTGGCCATCAAACCCGACGGGGTCCAGCGGCACCTGGTGGGGGAGATCATCCGGCGCTTCGAGAGGAAGGGGCTGCAGCTTGTGGGGATGAAGCTGTTGCAGGTGAGTGGCCGGGCCTGCCCGGGGGGTCCCTGGAGCCAAGGAGCCCCCCCAGGCCCCGGCTGTGCTGGTAACTGCAGGGGTTCTGCTGTCACCCGGCTTGCACAGCACCAGCACCAAACCCTCCCAGGGCACAGGGGTGTTGGCACCCAGGTGCCTGAACTGCCTCTCGGGGGTGATGCCGGCTATGGGGAGCACAGCTGTCCCTGGCTGTGTCCGTGCTCCAGGGCTGGCACTGAGCTGGCACATGGAAACTTCTCTCTGTGTCAGGCTGCTGCTGGTTCCCTCCTGGAACTGAGCACCTGCGCAGGAGCTGGGCTGTAACACACAGAATCCAGGTTTCCCTGCATCCCTCAGGTAGCTAAGCTAAGCTCTGTGCTCTCTGCAGGCCTCAGAGGAGCTGCTGAGGGAGCACTATGTGGCCCTGCGGGACCGGCCCTTCTACGGCCGCCTGGTGAAGTACATGAGCTCCGGGCCGGTGGTGGCCATGGTGAGTGTGGCCGTGTCCTCTGCACCAGGGGACAGGGAGGGAGGACAAGGTTTGAGCAGCACTGGCTGTTGGCATGATGGAAACAAGGTGGCTTCTTTCCTCAGAGGGTCTCTTGAAGCTCTGCTGACCTGTAGGGATGTTTTCTGTGGTAAATTTAATTGTAGCATCACTGACTGGTTTGGGTTGGAAGGCACCTTAAAGCCCATCTCGTTCCATCCCCTGCCATGGGCAGGGACACCTTCTACTATCTCAAATTTCTCCAAGGCCTGTCCAGCCTGGCCTTGAGCACTTCTAGGGATGTGGAGAAATCCACGGACAATTCTGATTCTTTTCCAAAATCAACTTTTGAAGGCTATTTGGAGACACCCTTTCCTGTCTCTCACCCAGGTGGATCAGAGGGATTCAGAGGACAGATGTGATGTGCTGGGGCAGTGTGGGGGCTGATCCTGGTCCTGTTCTCCTGTAGGTGTGGCAGGGCCTGGACGTGGTGAGGATGGTTCGCACGATGATCGGGGAGACGAACCCGGCCGAGTCCAGGCCTGGCACCATCCGAGGGGACTTCTGTGTCGAAGTCAGCAAGTGAGAGCTTTGGCTTCTTTTTCCCTCAGTGTTTCAGGGCATCTTGTCCAGACACTCATGTGCCAGGCCTGCCTGAGCCATGTGAGCCTGCACGCCCAAGCAGAGCTGCTCCCTTCTGTGCTCACAGCAGAGCTGAGCTCTGCCTCCCAGGCTTGGCTTTGGCAAGAGGAGGAGCCTGGGTTTGTGTGCTTCCCTCTCCCTGAGGCCTCTGTTGAAAGCAGATGGGGTTTGCCTGTGTTTTCCTCTGGGAATCAGTTGTGAAGAGGAAGGGAGGAGCCCTCTCAGCCTTTTCCTGGGAGTAGGTGAAGGTTCATGGGTGGTGACCTTGGGTGGCCACAACCTGGCTTGTGGTAGGCACAGCTCACATTGAACCCTGCTGGCTGAGGTTTCTGTTCCTGGGTGTCCAATACCAAACCACCTTTGACAGAAGGGAGGGGGGAAATCTGGAGGCACAGCTGGAATTACTGACATAAAAACAAGCAAACCACTTGCAGCTCCTCCTGGAGCAAACAAATGGCTCCTCATCATAGGAGGAAGTTCTGGGAATGGGCAGCTCCTGCACATCTATGTCCCACACCCTGAGCTGGAAGAAGGGGGGGGTGTGGTAGGAAAGAATATTGTGGGATGGGACTGGCTCCATTGCTTTAATTAAATTGGTCAAGGGGAATTTTTCCAGCATCCTCTTCCACCTTCCTATGCTGAGTGCCAGCTGATCCCTGTCTCCTCCCCCCAGGAATGTGATCCATGGCAGTGACTCAGTGGAGAGTGCCCAGCAGGAGATCTCCCTGTGGTTCCGCCCGGAGGAGCTCACATGCTGGGAGGACACGGCCCAGCACTGGATCTACGAGTGAGGGAAGGACACCTTCCTGAGGGGACACAGGACATTTCCATCCATTGCATGGCTGTGGATCCTGCTATGGGATTCCTGTTCTGCCTGTGGGGTCCTGGGAGCTGGGCTGTGTCTGGAACAATGTGCTTCAGCTCCTGCCAAGAGTAACTGTTTCTTTTTTTCTCTCTGCTCTAGTAAGTAGCATTATTGCTCTGTTTGCTGCAGTATCTTAAATCCCAAGTAGCTCAAGCTGATTTACTGAAGTATGTCCTGGACTCTGGGCCCGTCCCTGAGTGTTCCCAGCCCTGCCTGGTGCAGGAGAATGTGTGTTCCTTGCTGCTGGGAGAGGTGCTGGTCACGACGAGGTGATGGGATTGATAGAATTTACCTGCATTTCTAGAAGGCTTTTCACCAAAGGCTTTTAAAGAACTAGGCTGCTGTGGGGTGTGGGGGAAAATTCTCCCTTGGGGTACGAGTGCATTCCAAAACAAGGAATGAAGGATGGAACAATCCCTCTCCCTTGGTGGGAGCTTCATGTGCTGGGGTTGGCACAACCCCGCCCGGCTTCTGACACGATCAGTAAGTCCATGGAAGTTTCTCCAAAGGCTGTTAAAGCACAGTTTCTCTGGCTCCAGTTCCTGAACTGGGAGCAGGGAAGCAGCTTCTCCAGTCGTGCTCTGGTTCTCTGGGGCTGCACAGCCCTGGCCAGACCCCGCATCCTCAGTCCCACGCTGACCCTGCCTGGGGACTGACACAGGCTGGTGAAGCTGCAGCACTGGGGCAGCCAAGGAATAGAAGGGGGAGAGTGAGGCAGGGAAGGATTTGTGGGTTTGGGGCTCAGGAAGGACTAGGAGGATTATTTAGTCCTCTCTTGTGCACAGTGCAGGCTGTGGAGTCCTGGCACTGAGCTCTGGGAGATCCTGAGATCTTCTTTGTCTGATGGTGGAGCTTCCCTGCTGGGAGGGTATCTGGAGACCCAGTTTGTAATGGGCTGGACACCCCCTGTGAGCTCTCAGTGGGCCACCCAGCTCCTCAGAGCTGTGCTGGGTCTGGAGTGTAAGGACAGGGACAGTGACATGGCATCCTGCCATCGAACAGGGACACGGTTAAACCCAGGGAAGGAGATCCCCTGGGGCTTTCCTGTGTGTAGGGTTTCACCTGTGCCTTCGGGGCCTGTCCCACTCTGTCTCTGGCTCCCCAGCTCTGTAGCTTCTGGGGGATGAGGGCAGCTCTCTGGGGGCAGAGAGAACTCACTCCACTCCCACTCTGGGCTAGGGGTCTCCCTCCAGTGGGGCCTCCCTTCCCTTCCCTCAGCTGCCCAACTGCCTCAGCCTGGCTCCTCCTGCCTTGGCCTTTTCGAGGAGCCTGCTTACAGTTCTAAATACCTGATAGATCCCATTTGTTCCTGGAACTCCTCCATTTGGCTGAGCCCAGAGTCTGGCTGCAAGAGACACTGGCAAAGTAAAGACTGAGGTGTGAAGAGAGCAGGAGGAATATTTCATTTGTTGTTTAATAGATGTATTGAAAAAAGCTGTTGGCTCCAAGAGGTGCCAGTTCTGTGACACAGGTAAACTGTGGCCAAATCCCTGAGCATCATCTCTTGCCATTGCCTTTTCCTGAGGGATCCCTCTTCTGTTGGCACAGATGAGATTTAAGGTGCCCTCCCAGTTTCAAAGCACACTGGATTCCAGTCATATAACAGCCCTGACTCCTCAAGGCACAGTCAAGGCCAGCCCTCTCCTCCTCCCTGTGTGTAGTTTGGTGTCTGCCATGAACTCGTCCCTCTCTGGGCCCGATGGAGCAGCCCCAGTGCAGGGAAAGGGTCCCAGAGGCACTGCTGTGTGAGCGGGGACAGGGCTGGGCTGGGGGTTCCTCCAGCCCCCCTGACTTTAATTGCTTTGCATGTTGGTTCCTGCTGCTTCTCCTCTGTCCAAGACTCTGTTAAACTGTAACAATAAAAGTAGAAACTGTCTGTGGATCCTCTCAGGGCTCTTGAAGGCAGGAGCCTGCAGGTGCTTGGCAAAAATAGCCAGGCCAGCCCAGCCACCAGCTGGAGGCACCAGTTGTGTCAGAGCTGGAGGAGGTGAAGGCAGTGATCCCCTTGTCTCTGCCCTGTGCAGGGCTCCAGTGCTTCCCCCTGAACCAGCAGCATGGCTGGGATGATCCCCAGTGGAGCCAGACCGATGCTGCAGCACCGTGTGCTCGTGGCAGCAGAGCCAGAGGGCTCTGTGCTCCTGCAGGACTCAGGGAATCACAGAATAGTTGGGGTTGGAAGGGACCTCTGGAGATCACCCAGTCCAACCCCCTGCCAAGGAAGGGTCACCTGGAGCAAGTGACACAGGAACATGTCCAGGTGGGTTTGGAATGTCCCCAGAGAGGGAAACTCCACACCCTCCCTGGGCAGCTGTTCCAGAGCTCTGCCACCTCCATGGAAAGAAGTTCTGCCTCATGTTGAGATGGAATTTCTTGTGGTTTAGTTTCTGGCTGTTGCTCTTCATCCTGTTGCTGGGCACCATCAAAAAAAGTCGTCTACCAACCTCTTGACTGGATGCCAACCTGCTGCCAGTCCCTGCAGGTCCTGTGATCAGCCCCTGGCTTCTGCTCCTGGGGCTTTGCCCTGGATTTTGAGCAGTGCGTTTGCTGAGGATTTGGGCCTGAGCTGGTGCCATCAGCCAAGCAATACAGGGTATTGGAAAGTGGAAGAGGGCTGAAATTATGGGATGGGAAATGGCTTTTAACCTGTTCTCTCCATGGTTTCCTCCCAGCACTGTTAGTGGATTGATAGAACACAAAGCTGCAGTGTGGAGCAGGACAATCCCCTCCCTCGACCCGCTGAACCCCAGGATACACTTGGCCCTTTTGGCTGCCACTGCTGACCCTGATTCAACTGACCCAAACCCCCAGGTCTGTTTGCTGGGCTGCTCTCCAGCCTCTCATCCCCAAACTTGTGTGTGACCTGTCCCAGGTGTGGAACCCAGCACTTGCTCCTGTTAAACACCACACAGGGGGTGACTGCCCAGGTCTCTGTAAGGGCCCTCTACCCTGAGGGACCCCACAGCTCCTCCCAGTTTAGTATTGTTGTCAAACCTACTTAATGTACATTGAATTCCTGCATCTGGATGATTTATAAAACACTCAGTGGCAGCAGTCCTCAAACTGAGCCCTGGGGAGCCCCACTGGTGATTGTCCCAATGTGACCCCATTTCCTGTGACCCTTTGAGCTCAGCCAGCTGCTCACCCAGGCACTTGTGGAGCTGTGGGGGCCAGTTTATCCAGGAGACTGGGAGAAATGGTATCAAAAGCTTTACTAAAACCCCAAACCACCACATCTACTGTCTGCCCTCGATGGGTTTGACACAAAGCTGGAGGAAGTGCCCAGGAAGTTCCACCTGGACATGAGGAAGAACTTGTTTGCTGTGCAGTGATTGAGCACTGAACAGCCTGCCCAGGGAGGGGGTGAAGTGCTCCTCACTGGGGATATTCCAGAACCTCCTGGACACAATCCGGTGCCATGTGCTGTGGGATGACCCTACTGGAGCAAGGAGTTGGGACCAGATGACCCACTGTGGTCCCTTCCAGCCTGACCCACCCTGGCTGTGACTGATGACTGCCTTGTCTTTCAAGTGTTTTTCAGTAACTCCCTGCATAACCATCTCCATAATTTTACCAGGCACTGAAGGGAGACTGACAGGCCTGGAGGTTCCAGGGTCTTCCTTTTTTCCTGCTTGCAAACTGGGACATTTGTCAGCTTCCAGTCAACAGAGATCTCTCCAGACTCCCCAAACCACTGCAAAATACCAGAGCAGTCCCACGATGGCATCAGCAGCTCCATCAGTACCCTGGCATGGATCCCATCGTGTCCCAGCACACCCAGCTGGAGCAGCCAGTCCCAAACTGGTTCAGGGTCCGCTGGGAGTTTGTCATCCCGCAGTCGGGGTCTTCCAGCACAGCACTCCGGGGATCCCAGTGCCTCCAGCCTTGTCCACAACATCCCCTCTTTGGATGTATTGTATAGCTGTTTCCCCTTATAGTTACACATTCCCTAAGTTGTATTTCCTCCTACGGAATAAACCTGAGCTTGTTTAAGTGCTCCTGGCACATGAGTGGCTCTGAGGACGAACGCGGCTTCCTAAAGGCTTCACGCGAACGACTTCTATTGGGCTGCACCGAGCGCTGCTCGGTGAGTGACGGGGACGCGGGCAGCGGCTCCGAGAGCCCTGAACAGCCGCTGCTGCCGCCGCCTCACACCCCTCCCGATTCAGCTCCGCAGCGCCGGGCGCGGGTGCCCAGCGGGTCCGGCCCTGCTCAGCTCCGGCGGTGCCTCAGCCGCTCCCTGAGGGCCCGGGGCCGCCATGGCCGCCATGTTGCCGGCCCTCCCTCCCAGGCCGGGCGGGGGCTGCCGGGACGGGGCGGTGCCGGCGGCGCGGATTGGTCCTCCCTGGTCACGTGCCCCGGGGCGGCCCCTTCGCGTGAGGCGTGGCCGCGGCGGCGGCCGCTGATTGGCCGCGGCGCGCGCGGCCCCGGCGCGAGGGCAGCGCCGCCCACGTGACGCGGGCGCGGGGCTGGAGCGGGGCCGGGGCGGCCGCGAGCGGCGGGTGAGTGAGGGGGGGGCGGGGGCACCGACCCGACCTGGCACCGGCACCGCCAAACCGGGGCCCGCTCAGCCCCGGGCCCGCTCACGGGGGTGTCCGGCCCTCCGTGCAGCGGGAGAACAGGCGGCCCGAGCGCAGCCCCGGCCCCGGGAGGTGCAGCCCCAGGCCGGTGTTTGTGCCCGGGGATGCTGGGCCCTGTCACAGACCGTCTGGCGGGGACGTTTTGCTTCCCTGGCAGCTGGATTTCCTTCAGCCCTTACACATGGAGCGGTGTGGTGTGAGGAGGGAGACCTGTGGATGGACAGGAGGGGCAATGGGAGGCTGCCAGCGCTGGAGGGAATTCTGGTGCAAGGACTGACTTGCTCTTTCTTTCTCTCTAACAATTGCAGCAGGCGCTGGCAGCACAGCCCTCTGTCATTTCCCAGGAAAACTCCCAAACCAAAGGACTTGTCCTGCTGCCAACACCCCCGTCATCCTCAGCCAGCGGTGCGATCCCTCCGTGCAGCCGGACAGCCCTTCCCCGATGCAGAGGGAACGATGCCGTGAGGGCTGGTGAGCCCTGGCCAGAGCCATGACAGAGCCCCACAGGGTGTCGTTCACCACCCTGCACGGCCCCCTGAGCAGCAGCTTCCTCAAGAGGTCCCGCAGGGAGGACGGGGAGCAGCCCCCGGAGCCCGAGCCCACGGCCACGGCCGTGCGGATCACACTGACCCTCTTCGAGCCCGACCACAAGCGCTGCCCCGAGTTCTTCTACCCAGACCTGCTCAAGAGCTGCCGGGGGAAGGTCAAAGGGAGCTCCTCAGGTGACAAGGTGAGTGCCCTCCTGGCCTCTGGGAACCTGTGCCGTGCCTGTCTCAGCGTTGCTGCTTTGGGAGCTGGTTCTGTGTTTGCTGGGGGGGGAGGAGGGTACTCGAGCATCCCACAGGCAGGAGAACTGATGTCCAGACAGGATTCCTTGTCAGGCCACGCTGTATCACTCCTTTGCCTTGGCTGGAATTTTGTGTTGGAAAGGTGTTGTGTTGCTGGCAGGCCGTGGGATGTAAAGCCTGTTTAGTTTAGAAAGGACTGATCTGAAGTGGGGTTTGGTACCTGGCTTGCTCTTCTCCAAAGAGGACCAGAGGAGTTTCTGGAGTATGTGGCTGTATCTTTTTGAGGACTGTGCTCTGCTGCACATCAATATTCCCACTTCAGTCCTTGGTATCTCCTTATGGGTGGGGGATGTGGTGCTTTCGGGTGTTACCTGACAGTTCTCTTTGCTGTCGAAAGCCATTTCTCAGGAAACAATGACATGCACACTCCTGCAGAATCTAAACTTTGTATTATGAGTTGTTTTCTATGGAAAGAAACTTACTGGATTCTACTAATTTTTACTGCTGCTCTTCAGAACTGATTACAGTCAGGTAGGGTTTAATGCTGCTTATTTTTAGAGGTTTTTTGGGAGTTGGGATAAACAGACAGGTACAGAACTAGTTGAGAGAGCATCCAAAACAGAGACACTCTCAGAATTACACAGTGTTTTGTGTTGGACCTTCAAACCCATTTCGTTCCACCCTCTGCCATGGGCAGGGACACCTTCCACTAGCCCAGGTTGCTCCAAGCCCTGTCCAACCTGGCCTTGGACACTTCCAGGGATGGGGCAGCCACAGCTTCTCTGGGCAACCTGTACCAGGGCCTCCCCACCCTCACAGGGAAGAATTTCTTTCCACTGTTCCATCTAACCCTGCCCTCTGGCAGAGGGAAGCCATTCCCCCTTGGCCTGTCCCTCCATCCCTTGTCCCAAGTCCCTCTCCAGCTCTCCTGGAGCTCCTTTAGGCCCTGGAAGGGGCTCTCAGGTCTCCCTGGAGCCTTCTCTTCTCCAGGTGAACCCCCCCAGCTCTCCCAGCCTGGCTCCAGAGCAGAGGGGCTCCAGCCCTTGGAGCATCTCCGTGGCCTCCTCTGGACTCTCTCCAACAGCTCCATGTCCTTCCTTTGTTGGTTCCCCCATATCCTGAGGCAGCTCTGCAGGTGGAGTCTCACCAGAGGGGCAGAATCCTCCCCTCCCCTTCTGCCCACGCTGTGGGATCAGCCCAGGGCACGGGGGGTTTCTGGGTCCCAGCACACACAACCAGGGCATGTCCAGCCCCTCACCCACCAGCACCCCCAGATCCTTCTCCCAGGACTCATGAGGTTCCCATGGTCCCACTTCTCCAGCCTGTCCAGGTCCCTCTGGATGTCCCATCCCACCCTTCAGGTGAGTCAACCACTGCACACAGCTTGGTGCCATCTCCAAACACACTGAGGGCTGTGATCCCCCCATCCATGTCCCTGAGGAAGACATGGCACAGCACTGTACCAAAGCCTGTCCCAAGGGCTGATTTGGCTGGTGCTCCAGTCGGGATGGGTTT